ACCGAAGGAGGCAGTGGGGGGGACTTTGCTTGGCCAGAGCTTGCTTAATTAAGAGAAAAATTGCCAAACAGGCTTGACAGTCGACCCGTTTTCTCCAAGAAGGCTGACAGATTTCACTTGTATGCATGTCGCCGATGCTTAGGAGCCTTCCAAGCTCAGGGTTGGTAATCAAAACAACTGAGCTGGAGCTTCTTGCTGCCTGGCAGGCAGTGATGATGGGCTGCCTGCTCCTTCCAGCCTCATGCTGACACCGGGCACTTGGCTGATTTACTGGGGAAACATACAGGCCACGCATGGGCACAGACACACTTCGTATTTTAAAATACCTGATGACAAACTCCCGAATCCACTCCTGTGACATCAAGGGTAACACCTCTAGTGCAAGCTTCGGGAAGTTGTTTTCCATTCCTCCTGAAGAACAGGAGGGTTAGTTGGGATAGAAGGCGGCTTGTTGCCACACAGAACATTCTTGCCATTAATGCCTAACATCTTCTGCCCCTGGCTGGCCTCTGGACCCTGCGCTCTGGAATTCTTCTAGTAACAGTTGTTGCGGGGGGTTTTTCATGGGTCCCTTTTTGGATGCTTTTGGTTACCTTAGCCAGGTCCCCCTTGGTTGGTAGCACAGCAGCTACTGTCCAGTGGCCCATTTTCTCACTATCGTTTTCAGTGTGCTTTGGGGGAAAACCTGAAATACCTGTGTTGTCAGGTGGGTCTCCTCTTGCTCTGGGAGGTCAGAGGCTCCCGGCACTAACAAGTCCTGTGACCTCAGCTAACTTCTCTGTGACTCAGCTTTTTTTGTGACCTTGGTGCCTTCCAGTGACCAGTCACGTTTTTGTCCGTGAAGTTGCTTAATGATAGTCATAACATGCAATGGGCCGCTGCTTAGATATTTCTTAAACTCTGCCCCCTCCTGACCCTCCTGAGAAATCCAGATTGTTCTGCTACTAGATTCCTGAAATTCCAGAAAATGTGCTTACAACTTTTGTCAATGGAAGTAGTTTGCGGGCTGATCTGACTTCATTATTCAAGTGTTAATGTAGCCAGAATCTGACCTCACCCTACCTCCCCACTACTTTTTTTGCTGGAGTCTTTTAAAGCAAATTCCAGGCAGCATATTATTTCATCTATAAGTACTTCAGTATGGTTTTCTGACAAATAGAAATTAAAAAAAAAATTTTCTAAACCTGTACAACCGCAAATCTATCCTAACACCTAATAAAATTGACAACAATTCTGTAATACCATCTAATACCCAGTCTTTGTTAAATTTCCCCCCAGTGTCTCAAAAATACTGTTTTTACTTAATATCAGGATTTAAGCAAGGCCTACAAATTTTATTTGGTTCATAAGGTTTTTTTTTTTTAAGAAAAGTTTTATTGAGATGCAGTGCACATGCCATATAATAATATGTACAATTCAGTGTTTTTTGGTGTATGCACAAGATTGTGCAACCATCACACAATCTGATTTTAGAGCACTTTTATCCCTCCTGATATAAGCTCGTGTGTGTATTAGCAGCCACTCCTCAGTAACCCCATGCCCATCCCTAGCCTTATGCAAGCACTGATCCTAGCTATCTCTATAGATTTGCCTATTCTGCACATTTCCTATAAATGGAGTCATACAATTTGTGGTCTCTTTTGATGGGCTTCTTTCACTCAGCACAGTGTTTCCATGTTGGAGTTTATATCCCATGTTATTCCTTTTTATTGCCAAGTAATGTTCTATTGTATGGATCAACTACATTTGACTTAGCCATTCATCAGTTGATTGGACATTTGAGTTGTCTCTACCTTTTGGCTATTAGGAATACTACTATGAACATTCATGTACAGATGTTTGGACATGTTTTCATTTTTCCTGGTTACGTACCTAGGAGTAAAATTGCTGTTTAATGCTTTGAGGAAGTATCATGTTGTTTTCAACAGCAGCTATACCATTTTATATTCCCACCAGCAATGCATCCGGAGTCTAATTTCTCCATATCTTTGCAAACACTTGTTCATCTTTTTTTATTGTAGCCACCTTAGTGGGTGTATGGTATCGTATTGTAATATTTCTTTATTTCCCTGATGCCCACGGAAGTTAGGCATATTTTCATATGCTTTTGGCCAATTGTGTATCTTCTTCGGAAAAATGTTTTTACAGATCCCCTCCCCATTTTTTAATTGGGTTGTCTTTTCATTGTTGTGAAAGTTCTTACGTATTCAGAATACAAGTCCCTTATCAAATACTTAATTTGCAGTATTTTCTCCCATTCTTCAGGCTGCTTATTCATTTTCTTGGTCATGTCACTTGGAGTTCCAAATTTTTTATTCTGATGTAGTCCCACTTATTTTTTCTTTTGCTGTGTGTGCTTTTGGTATTGAATCTTAAGTGTTGCCCTGACTCAAGGCCATCAAGGTTTATTCCTCTATTCTAAAAGTTTTACAGTTTTAGCTTAAATGTGGGTCTCTGATCCATTTTGAGTTAATTTTTGCATTTGGTGTGAAGTAGAGGATCCAGCTTCATTGTTTTGCTCATGGATATCCAATTGTCTCAGCGCCATTTGTTAAAAAGACTATTCTTTTCCCGTTGAAAACCCATTCCCTTTGCTGAAAATCAACTGGCTGTAAAGGTTAATTTCTAGACTCTTGATTCTGTTACACTGACCTATTATTATATCCATTCTCCACTGTCTTTATTACTGTAGGTTTGTAGTAAATATGTTTTTTGAAACTCTGTTAGAGGGACCTGGGTTATTTTTATAGAATTGCCCTAGTTGGCATTGGGCTGATTTTATCCTGGTGGTGTCTTCCATCTCTCTTTTCATAAACTAATATTTAGATCTAGCATCTTAGTTAAATTCAGTTTAAATTATATATTATTCTTTACTGCCAAAAATACTTCCTGGATAGTGCTGTATACTTCCTGTTCCATCAGTTAGGCATGTGTTGTCTGGTTATCCCACTTTTATTAATAATAAAATTGATTAAGTGGGTTTGAATTAGACTGAACTATCTCCCATAAAGTTCTCCATTAACTTGTCACTTGTTGGTTTTAGCAGCCATCCGGCATGTTTTGATCCATTGTTTATTTCATTAGGAGCTATAAAATGATGATTTTGGACTCCTTTTATTCCTTCTGCGTTTGTTAGCTTTGTTACTTTGTGTTTATCAGTTTTCAGTAGGAGTTGGTGCCCTAGCCACCTGTTAAGGTGACCAGTGATTCTTTTAAAGGATCTTTATGGGATTTTTATATATCTGTGTTTTTACCCATTGTGGTCATCATTCTTTGACACTCTAATTGCCCCATCACATGAAGTTAACTATATGATCTGTAGGATTTGCTTGGAAATAATCCAGCGCAGGTGATGAGGTAAAGGAGTAGATGAGTCAGAAATGGCCGTGAATGGATGCTGGGTTCTTATATTGTTCAGTCTTTTCCTTTGTGTAAGGTTTTAAAAATCATTCTGATTTTGGCCAGTGGTTACCCCTTGATGTCAGTCCAGTGTCATTTTGATAGCTTCTTTGATCTCAGGCATAAGAAGCCCCAAGAACATTTAATACATTTCCTGCCCCAGAATTAGAATCAGTCCCTTCTCCAGGGATCCCTGATTCCTTGTAGTGGGAAATAGTATTTGGAGGCTACCTGACCGAGGCCCTGGCAGTGCCACCAGATGGTCCGTGCCCTTGGCTTCCTCAGTGGACACACTAAAAACTGTTTTCCAGAAAAAGAATGAATCAGACATTTAGATCAGTATTTCCAATTCAAATGAAAGACTACAGGGTTTTCATTTAACTTTTATTTTTTTGCTTTATTTTAATCTATTTCGTGCTAAAAAGTTTGGTTTCTAACACCTAGCATAATTACTCACTTTATCCTAATTTTATATGACATCCTACTTCTATATAATATAATAATGTAATTTTATAGTGTGTGTGTATTTATGTGTTTAGAGGGGAGAGGGTATAGCTTTAAAATAATGTTATCAATATTTAATATGTCTTCCATGGTTCACTTTATATTTAAAACATATCTCACTAGGGATGTGTAGTCGAAAGACGGTTTTTCAAAGTTATTTGAAATCATTTTTCTTCCTGTGGTTATGCTATCAACTTGATACACTGTTAAGTTCATTTATTTCAGTTTGCTTTAGATTTTTAGGTGTTGAATTTTCCCCCTCCTTGTAATTTCAAGTGGTTCTAAAGTGGTAACTGTAATGCAAGTGGTTCTAAAGTGGTAACTAACGCAAGTGGTTCTAAAGTGGTAACTAACGCAAGTGGTTCTAAAGTGGT